CTGCTTTTTAAGATTTCCACTGTTGCGCTTTCTAAATTGTGAATTTCTTCAGATTTCAGTTGATTCTCATTTATACCCTAAGAATCCAGTCCTCCACCTTGGAAGTCAGCTCAACTTCAGTGTAGAAGGTTGGTGTATGATAAAATTTTACATAGTCAACCAAAGGCCTTTTTTGTTATAGTGATGCCCCAAACTTTAGTAGAATTCCTGGACATTACTATTTTACCTTGTCATTCCTGTTATGGTACACTTCTATGAATCCTATTGTTTTATCATTTTGTTCAAATGTTATTTTCTTTTCTTACTTGTGATACTCACTATTAGTGTTGCTCAAGCATTGTTGATTGTTACTATACCAGCTTGTTATGGTATACATCTATGAATCCCCTTGTTTTATCATTTTGTTCAAATGTTATTTTCTTTTCTTACTTGTGATACTCACTATTAGTGTTGCTCAAGCATTGTTGATTGTTACTATACCAGCTTGTTATGGTATACATCTATGAATCCCCTTGTTTTATCATTTTGTTCAAATGTTATTTTCTTTTCTTACTTGTGATACTCACTATTAGTGTTGCTCAAGCATTGTTGATTGTTACTATACCAGCTTGTTATGGTATACATCTATGAATTTTTTATCATGATTTGACTGGCTTGAATATAATGGTGCTGATTTACCTTGCCTGGAACTCATTTCTTCAAACAGTGATTTGTAAAAATTCTAGTGTGAAATTGCAAACAGCAGTTACAGTGTTGAAAGGGACTATTGTGTTCATTGAAATACAAAAGTATAGGAGTGCCCCATTGCCGTTAAAACATTTTGATAACTAAATCATAGAAATATAGAAAGAAAGTAGCAATGGTTAAAGGTGAATACAAACTAAATGTGTGTAGATTTTGAATTTGATTGTTAGAGAGAGAGAGAGATACGAAAACTAAGTAAAAAAATGCACTTTTTCGCACTTAAGCTTGAAAATAGGTCATCGGAGGACAAAATCATGCAACAACCACGTGACAGCCCGGGAAACACCTCAAACACCCCGGGAGGTACCAATGTATGTTGTGGAAACTTACGGAACTAGCACGGGACTCCCGGTTTGAAAACTAAGTCCAAAAATGTAATTTTTCACACTTAAGCTTGAGAATAGGCCATTGGAGGTTAAAATCATGTTACAGTCATGAGAAGGCCTGGGCAACACCTCGGGAGGGACGAACGTAAGTTGTGAAAACTTACGGGACTAGCACAGGACTTCCGGTTTGAAAACTAAGTCGAAAAAGACACTTTTTTCACACTCAAGCTTAAAAATAGGCCATCGGGGGCCAAAATCTTGCAACAGCCACGAGACGGCCCGAGGAACACCTCAAACACCTCGGGAGGGACCAATGTAACTTGTGGAAACTTACGAAACTAGCACGGGACTTCTGGTTTGAAAATTAAGTCGAAAAAGGCACTGTTTCACACTTAAGCTTGAAAATAAGCCATCGGGGGCCAAAATCATTTAACAGCCACGAGACGGCTCGGGGAACACTTAAAAAATCTCGGGAGGGACCAATGTAAGTTATGGAAACTTATGGAACTAGTACAGGACTCTCGGTTTGAAAACTATGTTAAAAAATGTACTTTTTCACACTTAAGCTTGAAAATAGGCCATCAGAGGCTAAAATCATGTAACAGCCACGAGACGGCCTGGGGAACACCTCAAACACCTTGGAAGGGACCAATGTAAGTTGTGGAAGCTTACGGAACTAGCACGGGACTCCCGATTTGAAAACTAAGTCTAACAATGCACTTTTTTCACACTTAAGCTTGAAAATAGGCGATCAGAGGCCAAAATCGTGTAACAGGCATGAGAGGGCCCGGAAAACACCTCAAACACCTCGAGAGGGACCAATGTAAGTTGTTAAAACTTACGGAACTAGCACGGGACTTCCGGTTTGAAAACTAAGTCGAAAAATGCACTTTTTTCAGACTTAAGCTTGAAAAAAAGGCCATCGGGGGCCAAAATTGTGCAACAGCCACGTGACAGCTCGGTGAACACCTCAAACACCTTGGGAGGGACCAATGTGAGTTGTGGAAACTTACGGAACTAACACAGGACTCCCGGTTTGAAAACTAAGTCTAAAAATGCACTTTTTCACACTTAAGCTTGAAAATAGGCCATCGGAGGACAAAATCGTGTAACAGCCACGAGACGGCCTGGGGAACACCTCAAACACCTCAGGAGGGACCAATGTAAGTTTTGAAAACTTACGGAACTAGCACGGGACTCCCGGTTTGAAAACTAAGTCAAAAAAAGCACTTTTTCCAACTCTTAAGCTTGAAAAGAGGCCATCGGGGGCCAAAATCGTTAAACAATCATGAGAAGGCCCAGGGAACACTTCAATCACCTCTAAAGCAACCGTTGTAACTTGTATAAACTTACGTATCTAGCACGGGACTCCCGGTTTGAAAACTAAGTTAAAAAGGCACTTTTTCCAACTTTTAAGCTTGAAAAGAGGCTATCGGGGGCCAAAATTGTTAAACAACCACAAGAAGGCCCAGGGAGCACCTCAATCACCTCTGAAGCAACTATTGTAACTTGTGTAAACTTACGTATATAGCATGGGATTTTCGGTCTGAAAACTAAGTCCAAAAATGAATTTTTCCAACACTTAAACTTGTAAATAGGCCATCAGGGGCCAAAATCTTGTAATAGGCACGGGAAGACCCGGGGAACACTTCAAACACCTCGGGAGGGACCAATGTAAGTTGTGAAAACTTACAAAACTAGTATGGGACTCCCGATTTGAAAAATAAGTCGAAAAATGCGTGTTAAATTGCATATTTAATTGATAAGATAATAATTGTCTAACTTGCATTCTTTTTTTTTTCTTTTTTTTTTTTTGTGTTTCATTTTTTTGCAGATTCGAGATTTGATATGGACATGTTTGGTAATTTGGAGAGCAGAAGCTAGCTCATTTTGTGTTTTTGTTCATATTACCTTACATATATTTTGGTTGCGTTGTAAATTTTATATTTTTGTTGGTATTACAGGACATGTTTGGTAATTCACACTTGATATTATATTTTTGTTGATATTAGTAGACATGTTTTTTGTGAATATTAGGAGACGTGTTTGGTAATCTGCATGCAGTTGATATTATATTTTTGTGGATATTAGTAGACATGGTTTTTGTAGATATTAGGAGACATGTTTGGTAATCCGCATGTAGTTCATATTGTATTTTTATGGATAGTGCTGAAATTCGATTGTGATGTTTATGAAAATGAACAAATTTTTGTATTGATTTGTAATAGATATTATATTGAACAGGTTATTGAAATGCACAGGGAATTTTTACTGAAAAGAAAATTTTTAATTTGAAAATAGTACCCCCATTTTAAATTTTTTTAATTATTATTAGCGACGAAATTAAAAACGTCGCTATTAGATTTCAAAAAACATGACGAATAATTTTGTCACTAATGATATAGTACCAAACAAATAATTTCGTCACATTTGTTGAATATTTCGTCGCTAAATTGAAATATTTGGTGACGAAATGTTTCTTGTCATTAAAGAATTTTCTTTTGTTCTCATTTTATTGATGAATTTTTTTGTTACCTTAATCTATATCATTGGTGAGGAAAACTTTCGTCACTAAAATCTGTTTGGTGATGAAATATTTTGTAGCCAAAAACAATTAAAATAAAATATTATCTAGTTTTAGTGACGAAATTGATGTTATAGAGTACGAAAAATGCAACATTTTGGAGATGAAAAATTTCGTCGCAAAAAATGAAAAATAGGCAACGAAACTATTTTTCGTCACCATGTACTTTCAGTGACAACGTATAGGCGACAAACGTGGTGACAAAATTTTTTTGTCACATATCACTTTAGTGACGAAAATTTGATGTTTGGAAACAAAAGCAGTCTATCACCAAAGGCCTTTTTTGTTGTAGTGCAGGTTATCTAGGATCAACTTACTCGAGCTGTACTGAGAGTTGCCCAATCCCGACTTGCAATCCGAGATTGTCTGCTCATGCTCATGCCAAGCTTGGCTTGTGGTTGGGCTTTTCCTAACTGCATATGGTTTGTTTTTGTCAATGCTAGATGAATGAAGCAGTCATGGCTGCACTCGAAGGGAAATTGATTGCCCGAAGCTTAGTTGCACGAAGCGGGAGCGGGGGCGGGAGCGGGGAAGCGTGAGCTGATAGAAGTTTTTTAGGTTGGGAGCGCCTCGGGGAGCGGTAATATATATATTTTTTAAATAATATTTTTTATAATACACATTAATTATTTTATTTATTTATTATATTTTTTAAATAATATGTTATTGTTAATTTATTTTTTTATTTTTAATTGATATATATATTATAAATAAAAAAATATAACAAATAAGGAATAATAAAATATGTTAAAATAAATAATAAAAAGTTAGATGATTTATTTTATAAATTTTATTAGAGTTTTTTTATTAAATATGATTTAATTAGATTTATTATATAAAAAATTATATTATTTATTATATAACAAGTTATATTATAATTATATTATTTATTATACTCATTAAATGTTACAAACGGGAGGGGACACAGATCGACGAGAGAGAGAGAGAGGAAGAAGACGAAGACGACGACAACGAAGAAGAAGATGACGGCGATCATGCTGAAGAAGAGAAGACAGAGAGACAGAAGAGGAGATCGAGAGAAATGAAGACAGAGAGTGAAGAGGAGATTGTGACCAGATTGAAGGCGATGAACAGAGATCGAAGGCTATGTAACAGATCGACGACGTGTCCGAGAAACCCATGCCCTAAACTAGCGAATCCATGTAACAGATCGACAGCGAAATAGGTTTCTCTCTCTCTCTCTCTCTCCTTTACGATCCCATCGTTGACTGAATCGTGTTTCTCTCTCCACAGAAACGCGATTCTTACACGCTTCTTTCTAGGAAGCGAGGAATTGTGATTCTTACTCAGAATCGCCACCTGGTTGCACGATTCCTGCAACTAAGGCCCGAAGTAGTAGTTCAGATGCCACGTTATTGACTATCAAGAAAATTCATTTTGAGCAGGCTCTAGAAAAAATCTCTCCATCTGTCTCAAGCAAGGTATGAGTTAATAATGACTTTAACAGTGTCTTTGTATGCAAAAACATGCATGTATGTTGGCCTTAATCAGCTCAGTTATATTTATTTATTTATTTATTTATTTTCCTCCCTCCACCTAATTTATGAACTTGTTTGGGGTGCAGCAAAAACAATACTACCAACTTTTGTCAGAAAGCTTCAAAGCAGTGCGAGAGTAGACTTGGGAAAATGGACTATTTGTTGATAGTTTTTGAGATAATCTGAATTTTTTTTTAATTTATATTTTTTATAATCAATTTTGTAGATATTGTGGATTGATTTCTAGTTGCTACTATGCGTGAGATTGCAACAAATAATCTGGAGATAATTTATCTGACCTGAATATAGGTTTCATCCCTATGCTAGGAAAAGATTTTGTAGTAGTGAAGAATGATGTATTTGGCTTACATGTCATTTCATAGAGAAGGTTTGTTCTCATTACTTGGCTAACATGGTACTTCAATTTTCAGAATTTACTATTTTGGTTGGTTTATTCTCATTATTTGGCTTACATGGATACTTCAATTTTCAGAATTTACTATTTTGGTTTTTGGGAGGTTGGTAAATGGAAAAAAAAATGTACAGATTGAATTGAACTATGCCAAATTCAAATAGTGCAATACTTGAACTCCGGATTTTATGTTCTAGTTTTGTTATGAAGATAGTTGAAACAGCCTAAGCTATTTGTTGGTTTAACAAAATAGGGTTGTCCTTTCTTTGTTGTATATGTATTATATACCTGCATAGCATATACCAAAAGGGGTTGTGTATTATAGATTTTTTCTATAGAATTTCTCATGTATATATACATGCATATATACATTGTATATTTCTGTTGAGTGCCAAAGGAAATTACCCAAAACTAGACTGAAGGTTACATTAAAGTTTTTAGCTGGTTCATGGTCCTGGTGAACAGCCCTGGAGCTTTTGGAAAACAATATATTATCAGAAATGGTGGCCGGCGGTGGGTGACTGCCCAGACGTCACGGGGTGGTTGAAGGGTGGAAGTTGGCCTAAGGCTTGCCCGAGGGTTGCCAAAGCTTGCTGGATGTCACAAGGTGATTAGAGGGTTGCTGGAAGGTGGCCTAAGGGCTGGCAGAGGGTGGCAGAGGTGGGTGGTGGCTGGTAGTGGTGAGGGTGGGGGAGGAGAGTGAACTTATTTTGAAAATAAAAAGTATGTATATCATAAAAAAAATAAAAATAAAACTGAAAATGGAAATTGAAACTTGTTTAGTACTCCCTTGTTTTCAAATTGTTTTTTTGATTCCGAAAAGGAGAATTAAAAAATATATATTTCTGTCAATTTTTAATTTTTTTTTCACAAACAAGTACTTAATGAGATATTTTAATTGGTGAAAAACTAAATTTTAATACAAAAATATATATTTTTAAGTTCTCATTTTTTATGTCGAATAAACAATTTGAGGTATGGTCTAACTTTAAATATTAATATGATTTTATCAAAAGAAAAAAAAAAAAATCCTCAAAGTTGTGGGTAATTGAGTCCAAATCTGAGTTCAGTTTATTATATTTAGGGTAGGCTTAGGCAAATAAATTTATTATACATAAGTGAGAAGTTTCATCCTTACAATTTATAGTAATGTTAGGCACCATGAAAAAAAATTCATAAAATATTTCGTGAAATTTTTTCGTCATTTGATTAGTATGTGATGTTTTATAGTGCGTGGGATAGAGAAAATCCTTCAATTAAACACTGTAAAATACACACACCTCATTGAGCCAAAATTCATTCAAGGGGCCACTCCAAAACTCATACCCCTTCATATCTACAATATATACTCAGATCTGTGATATTAACGTCATCACTGCATATATATATATATATTCAAATTAACAATTCAACAATGATCCATCCCACTAATTTGGGAGCACTAATTGACCACTAATGAGGTAGAAATTCAAAAAGGAAAAAGAAAAAAAAACTTAAGGCCAAAATATCACATCAGTAAATGGACCCACTCTCTAGAGCTCTTTTAGACCTCCCAATTTAAAGTTTCCAAACATTTTTCTTAACAATTTCATGCAAAATTTTGAGTGAAGAGAGAGAAGATCAAAGTGAGCAAGCTGGCCTTGAAGATAATACAAATAAACATAAGCACTACTATAATAAAAAAGAATGACACTTACCAGCAATGGAAGCCAAAAGAACACTGCTATAATTTGAAGTTTGATTTTGCACCTAATAGAAAAAGCAGTTGCCCATAACTTGTTTTCTTTTTAAAGTTTTGTTGGATGTTTGAATATTAGTAGGCTATTATAATTCATATTGAATGTGTGGTAGATTAGTAAAGAATTTTTTAAATTATTTTCATGAATATTGACATACTTCTATATATTAGGAAGAATGGATTTAAACACAAACAATTCAAAATAATTTTACTTTTATGAAGGTACACGTGAGCTTGTGTCTGGTGAAAGTGAAATATGTGGTATGGGATGCACTTCTCACATTGCTCCGACTTAGATCTCCATATAAGTGCAATTACTTTAAGTTATTCACACTTTAATGTATTTCTTCTATTCTATATATTATCGTTTTGGGTGTTAATATTTAAATAAGTTACCCTTATGGGCTCGTTTGTTTGGCAGCGTGAAGGATGTGAAAGGATTGTTTATGATTTGGGGTCACCAATGGCATGTTTGGTATAGTAGCTCAGGTTTAGATCCGACCTTTTTATATTCTTTGATTTGGAATCCGGTACTTATTGTTGTTGTTTGTACTTTTTGTCTTGTTGTGATATGGGAATGGTTGTTTGGAGTTATTGGTTGTGTTTGAACAGGTTGGGAATTGGAATTTCAAAAGAATTTATACATGTTTGTTGTTGAGTTTGCTTGAGTAGTCTTTCCTTCGCTCGAGCGGGCTTTGGTTTCGCCTAGTATCTGTGTTTGCAGTTTGAACTTCTGGGAGTGGGGTGTTTTTCGCTCGAGCCATGGGTTAGTCAATCGAGCAGTATTCTGTGTCTGACACTCTCTTTCGTTCGAGCAGTATCTTTGTAGGTCTGAACTTTTGGGAGGGGGCCATTGTCGTCGAGCCATGATTTGGTTGCTCGAGCCGTTCCTTGTGTCTGACGCTCGAGCGATGTTTTGGTCACTCGAGCGGTCTGTGCTTATATTAATACGGAAAAAGATATTTTCTTTCACTTTTTGATCTCTCTCTCTCTAATGTGATGTGAAACAAGTTTGCTTGAATTAGGATGTACAATTTGCTTATAATCTAAAATAAATTCTAATGCTAACATGTTAGCCGTGTCATGTTCGGATTGACACAATTACAAGAAGGTTAGGTCAGTGTCATGATATTTAACATGTATAATTAAATGGATCATGTTAGTGTTAGGTGTTTTGGACACGAACCCGTGATGATACGATATGACATGACATGATTCCTATCTCCACTTGGGATGAGGATATTCTTAGAGTGCGTTTGGATAAAGGATTTGAGGGGGATTTTTGGAAGAAAAGAAAAAAAGAAGGGAAAAAAATGAATGTAATGGAAGCTAAAATTTTTCACTTTCACTATCTATTTTCTCCCCCTCCATAATCATTTCTCCCCCTTGATAATCCCAAAATTCTAAATCGAAAAACAGCCTTAAAGTTTCAAAGTGAAACATTGGAAATAACAATCTTGATGAGCTGCAATACATGAGTTCAATGGTTGCCTTGTTGAACTACATATGTAAGACCTTAATTCCAAAGGGTTTTGGTTCATTTGGACTAAAAAAAAAGAGCAAAAGAAAAAACCAGCAAGTAGATAGAGTATTAGTTAATAATCCCAGTGGATTCAAGTTTTTAAATATCATTCTCCTAATGCTTTGTGTTGTTACTTTAAATGCCCGAAATTAAATTAAGAAAAATTTTCGAATTCTTGAACTTTTGGATGATGCATGGAAATGGCATGGAGATTTTTCAAAATTCTTAAAATTCAACAAGTATTAGGTTCTCTAGTGTGTTGAGAATAAGTATTAAAATTGAAAGACTTGAGTTTGTACTTAGAAAATTGAACAAAAAATGCTACTCCAACATTAGCTTGAGAGTCATTAGAAGTGAAAGAAAAACTAAATTAGATCCGCGAGTGCTTTTAATTCTCCATATAACCATAGAAAAAACAAGAGGCCCTTCAGCATTATATTAATTCCTATATTGCAAAGAATCATTCCACAACTACAATGTCACAATAAGATTAGAGTTGATACCTATAGAATGAGGAATAATATTATCAGCCATTATGACAACAATTGGAAGAAATTAAGAGATAAATGAGATCTAGGCTTTGAATATAGGTATATATATGGTATAGATATGTTATGTATGTCCACATACATGTATTTCATTCATTTGAAAAAATTTATACTGGACTCAGAGCTCGCTTAGGATGTGGGTTAGTTTTTTGGCTATTTTAGCTTGGGACTAATAAGCCTTGTTTGAGATAGGCTTTTCGGCATTTTTTGACTTCTTTGAGAGAAAAAATGAAATGATTATGGGTTGGATGTAACATTTTGTCTTATTTGGCTAAAATAGCTTATTTAGTTTTTAGTTTTTATTTTTTTGGGTAGGTACTATGTTGCATGTGCCTAACTAGCATTTTGCCTCAGAACATCAACTAAATTGAATACATAATCAAAACTTTGTTCTAATCATTGTGCTTCTGCATCATCTATATGAGCAAGTAACAAAACATACTGTCAAGAATGATCTTGAAAAGTGAATAACATTTGAAAACTCAATTAGGGAATGTGGCACAAAAAAGAAGGAAGTTAAGTTCTAAAAAAATCAGCTACCTAACCACACCTACAAATGAAGAATGTGAAGGACTACAATGCTAACATTGTCAATCACATTGTAAGCTGACTCAAACCACCAAAAACAGTACTAATTTTCCGCTAACGAACAAGTTAGCAGTCATCAAATTGAATTACTTTGTAGCTACTCAAGTTTCACTGAACATGAAGGATATTTGAACAGATTTTCCATATGAAGATTATACTTTATTCAGAATTTTCAGCAGCCAAATCTTCTTCCCAAATGCACTTTCAAAACTCGCACCATCTGAAGAACTGACCTGTTTTTCTCTTCTTTGCAAATCCATCTCCAAATGATATGCAGATTAATAGAAAAAAGAAGGCCATTTTTAGTAAAGTGCCAAACCAGTATGTCATTAGCAAGCCTTGGGAAAAAAGGGATTTTACATATCAACTCAGCTTCAAAATCCAAAAAGCACCATGTGATGAGAGCTTCATTCCATTCCTGACACCAGTGCTTTCATCAATAAGGGAGAAAACTTTACATCAGCGTGGAATCCGTCAAACTTTCCAAATCATCACACACCAGACATTGAAATCCCTTCAAACCCTTTCTTGGAGATTGCACACAAAATCTATTGCCTTTGACGACGAGGGAATTGTTAGATGTGCATGGGTATTTCTGCCTGCACTAGCATTTTTTTTTTTTTTAAAGTTTTCCCATGACAAACCTCCATATTGTTGTGCAGAGCCTCAAGCATCCTCAACAGCTACCTGCAATATAAGGAAACAAAACCATAAGTTGATAAGAGGTTCAAAGTAATATACATGAACACAATTGTAGTGGAGATGAGAAGGCAAGTAAATTTGCTTAATAACAAATAAATTGAAATTAGCAACCCAACTCAAGCTCACTTAAAGGAAAAAGGACCAAACTTCATCATTTTATTAACTATTATTGGAAAGTCTTAACTACTCTATCAAGTAAAAGATGAAATGACCGATTCTTCCATATTGCCATTTTTGGAGTGGCAAAGTAACCATAGATTGCCCATATGGATTTTGACCAGACTAGGTGGCTTTCTAACCAAGGATGGATCTAGGGGGGTGTGGATGGGGGTGACCACACCCCCAAAAATTTGAAAAATTTCATATATTATACTAATAAATTTAAAATAATTTAAAATTATAGGGGTTTGCACCCCCAAACATACTTTCGCACCCCCATAGTAACAAAGTTGGATCCGTAACTGTCAAATATAGAATAGCATATGAGCAGAAAGGCTCAAGAACACAAAGTGATTTTTTGCAATGTCTGGAAATTTAAATGATCAAAATTCTTGCCTAAGAGTGTGCTGGAGGGAGGTTTTTTTCAATTATGAAAAGGACTTCTTCTCAATTATGTTGATATATCTCTTACTCCTTTATCATTTTTTTTTCCTGACTCTTGTTCCCTTATCTCCTATGAGAGTTTTCAACATTACTAGATAAAGCCTTAATTTTAGAACAGAGCAATGTCTGGAAATTTAAATGATCAAAATTCTTGCCTAAGAGTGTGCTGGAGGGAGGTTTTTTCAATTATGGAAAGGACTTCTTCTCAATTATCTTGACATATCTCTTACTCCTTTATCATTTTTTTTTTCCTGACTCTTGTTCCCTTATCTCCTATGAGAGTTTTCAACATTACTAGATAAAGCCATAATTTTAGAACAGAGCATCCAAAGTACTCATCAAGCAAATTTCAACAAGTGCAAAAACTTACAATGCAGTTTAGATGATGAGCATGCGTACATCCTAAAGTTTGTTTCAACAACAACAACAAAGCCCTGTAAACAAAAAGGTAAATGCAATAGTCAGTACATTTTTCTATTTAAATTTTCAACAAAACATTGAAAAAATACTGAAAAACACAGTTTTACAAGCTGCAATTGCAGGTTTGTATCAGACTGAGGAAGTTGTCCTCTTTAGGGTTAACAATATTGTCGAAGCTCATGGAGGTGTATCTGTATTTGGTGGAATAGGTGAATGTACTCATGAAGCAAATGAAAAACAATATCAGCATTCAAGTGAAATGGAACCACTCATTAGCTCTTGTCTTGGCAATTTCAAAAGGAACAAATAACTCGAACTAATATAAATTACTGAACCATTTATTTTGTAGCCATTGGAAGCATTATGTAGCTAGCTAATACATCATGTGTCAACATTTCAATTGCTGATGTAATAGATTAATTTTCGCAAAATACATTCCATGCTGCCATGGATATTGCTATATGTTTTGCATAAATGGGACACACCAAATTTTTATGTCCCACCTAAGTCCAAAAAATTGCAAGAGTGGAATACATAATTCTAATTCAATTGAAATGAACTTGGAAGCCATGGTATGGACTACGAATGGATAACATAATGAAATTAAAGACAATGAAAATTTTGTCTGCCAATTATGTGGAATCGAAGCAGCATTACAGGAAAAATGAAAGATCAAGAGAAAAGGCACCGTCTAGCTCAGATTGTGAATGAAGCACCTGAATTTTTTTTCTTCTTCTTTTTTTTTTTTTTTTTTTTAATTTGGTGACAAGGATGAATTAGAGAAATAATGTGTTCCTAAAGTAGAAGTGAACCATCAAAACCTACAGAGTAGATTTTGATTGTCATCCATAGGTGAGCATGGAAGACCGTGAACATAGTGGCTAAGATTTTGGATGATGGATGAGCTCAACATCTTTAGAGATTGCCATTGATACGGTTTGGGAGAGAAGCATTGTTGTCTTTTAAGGATAATAAGATTCTTCAACCTGCCAGCTATTCATTCAGAGCAAGACCCTAATATCTGAAACTCAAAATTTATGCATAAGCCCATCATTAGTAAATTTTGAATTTACTAAAACTAGAACCTGAAACAACTCAAAATTGCAATGATGGTAACAATAGAAGAATCATGTTTGAGCAAGTTACTGTCGTGAAGAGTATCAAAAAGTGATGCTATGCTTTTCAATAGACTTTAAAAAACTAGATTTATATAGTTCAAAGCTTGTGCATGCATTTTTTTTTCTTTTTTTATTTTTCAAGAATGAGATTTAATGTATGTTAAATGCACAACAGTAAAATAAAGTCTCTCTTAAGGTCCTAACAAAAAGGCAACCTCGAGATATAATTGAAACATGGTGCACAAGTAAAATTTTTCCTTCCATTTAGGTACTTTACTTGCAGAACAAAAATGTAAGGATTCTTTTGTTTACTTAAGCATGGATGAATTAATGTGGGAACAAGTAGAATTTTAGAAGAATGGTAGTTGATTGTGCATGAATTGAGCTCAGGGTAAGTAAAAACAGTTATCAATGTCTGTCCCTTTGACAGAATATTTGCTGAACCTAGCAAAAATTCATCTCTTATGCATTGTGTTAGGTCCCTGTGTTGTCAAATCCGGAGACAAAATCTTATGTTGGTTCAAAACTGTGTTTTTCTGTTTTTGTACTGTCCGCTCGAGCGGAGACTCTTGAGCTCGAGCTTAGATTAGCAGGTCACAGTAGTTTGACAGGGCTAGCACAGATACTGGTGGACGCGATTTTACGCTCGAGCGGAAACTCCTACGTTCGAGCGCATCTCTGTTTCTTCGTATGCAGTTTTTGTTCAGTCCGCTCGAGTGGGCTATGTTGAGCTCGAGCGGAGATCGCGATTCAGATTCCTATTTAAAGCTGCTAACGTTGTTGTGTTTGGGTACGTTTTCCTAGATCTGATAGAAACAAACTAGGGTTGTGTTTAAAGTCTTCTTGGGAGATTTTTGAGAGTTTTCCTTGATGTTCTTAAGAAAGTTCTGAACTTATGCATTGAGATTCATACATCAAGGAGGTTGCTTCTTAAGTTTCAAGTGAGTTCTCTTCGGTGGATTCCGAAGATCAAAGCGTAGGATCCAAAAGGCGTTTGAGTCTACGCAGTCGTTAATTCGACAAGTGAAGTTGTGGTGTGGAATCAACTTCAGAATCAATTCCGTGACGAAGGTGTGGTGAAAAGAGTTACAGAAGATTCAGAGACAAATTGACTAGGGTTGGGTAATTTGTATGATTTCTTTGTAATCTTTTCGTTCTTCAGTAGTGGATTGATAGTGGCAGTTCGCCCGTAGTTTTTTATTACAATTGAAGGCTCTTCAATTGTGGTTTTTTCCACGTAAAAAATCGTTTGTGTCAATTTATTGTTTATTCTCAAAAACAAACAAACTAAAATCACTCTCGTAAGTGTTTGATGATTTTAGGTTGAGTGTTTTGAATTAATTGGGTTTTGGAATAAGTTTATCTTGATCTAATCATATATCACATAGATTTTCAATTGGTATCAGAGCGGGTCACTCTTTGTTTTTTTTTTAAAAAAACTATAGGAGTGTGATTTTGTGTGATTAGTATCATGGATTCTATTCGTGAAGGTAACTCCACTCATAGACCCCCATTACTTGACGGTACAAACTATTCTTATTGGAAAGCTCGTATGAGAGCATTTTTAAAATCCATCGATGAGAAAGTTTGGCACTCCGTAATCTTTGGGTGGAGTGAACCTACAATCACCGTTGATGCGATTGATATTCCTAAACCCCTTGATAAATGGGACACAACCGATTACCAAAATTCGAGTTGGAACAGCAAAGCTCTAAACTCCCTCTTCTGCTCTGTCACACCTGAAGAATTCTGTCGAATTTGCACGTGTGAAATAGCAAAAGAGGCGTGGGATATTCTTGAAACGATTCACGAAGGTACCACCTCTGTTAAAAGGGCAAAACTTCAACGTCTCACGTCCGCCTTTGAAACCCTTTTTATGCGCGACGATGAGACGTTCGATGAATTTTATGCAAAACTCAGTGATATCGTGAATTCCTGTTTCACTCTCGGTGAAAAAATCCCGGAAGCAAAAGTTGTTGGAAAAATTTTGAGGTCCCTTCCCGAGAGGTTCCAACCAAAGGTGACAGCCATTGAGGAGGCTCAGAATGTTGATACCCTCAAGCTCGATCAATTGGTTGGAAATTTGCAGACCTATGAAGCCCGCCAAATTTCTAAGAAAAAGCAAAAAGAAAATATAGCTTTTACGAGTGCCCATGAGACTGCAAAACCTCCGGAGACTGAATTTGATTTAGAGTCTGAAATGACGGCTATGCTTACAAAACAGTTTAAAATTTTTTTGAAAAAGAAGCCGAATTTCAGAGCCCCTACTTCAAAAGACAAGAGTAATGACAAACCCAAAACTGTTCCACCAAAATTTGCTCAAACTACTGAAAAAAAGATTGTAAGGGGACCAGGGGTCAAGTGTTATGAGTGTCAAGGCTTTGGTCACATTGCCCTTGAATGCCCTTCGAAAAAGAATCGAAAGAAAGTCTACACTGTAACTATAGCGATCCCGGGTTTACCCTTGTTGTACAGTGATCCGGACATGTGTCCGTGGATGTTGGTAGTTGTTTATTATCTTGTCTACATCCTTTTTACTTAGTATTTGAGTTATGGGATGTGTTGGGCAGGTTTGTTTCAGATTGGTTGAGTTTAGAAGCCAAAACTAGTTGCCCAGATTTTGGCCTGTCCGCTCGAGCGTAGATGTTGGCGCTCGAGCGTGGAATACACCCATCCAGTATTTGTTGTGCAGTGTTGTACGCTCGAGCGTAGGGTTGGGAGCTCGAGCGGAGGTCTGGTTCTGCAAATGTGCTGAGCGAGTGCATTCTGCGCTCGAGCGGGAGGTTGGCCGCTCGAGCGTAAGTCTGTGAGTGGCCGCTCGAGCGGGGTGTTTTACGCTCGAGCGGGAGACTGGGTTAAAGTCCCGAAATTGTGACTTTTCACATTAAACAACATAAAGCACTACGAATTTTCATTTCGCGGATAATGATAGTCCCGAGACCGTTACTAGGTTCCGGTTAGAAACAGCATTGATCAAGTCGCTTTTCCAACAAGACTCCCAGAAACTCAAGGATCCAATCAACATCCTAGAAATTAAATCCATACCACATAGTCACAATAGCAGTTATCAAATATAACACAAGCATATGGTACTACATCTAAGTCGTCTATTTCAAGCGAGACAAACCCATTTGTGATCCTAATCATTCCACGTACCCAAAGTATTCGAACCCGGGTACGCTCTGATACCAAGTTGTAACGCCCTCAAAAATAATAACATTAAACCAATCAAACAAGACATGCGTTGACGAATAAAAACAAACCACCTTCGTTAGTTATTTTAGCGTCTCATTACATAAGTATTACATATTTAACATCATAACAAATGCCACGGGCTGGACAGCTTTCCAAGTTAACACTCGGCAACATAAGAGTACTAATCGATACCACCATTAAGCCCTTGGCTTGAAGTTAATGTAATACATCAAAGTAAAACAACAAAACATGTCCGCCTCTTTAGCCTCCCAGCTTATGTCCTTGGAGGTGGGATGCTTCCATTGGTACTGAAAAATGATGTTCCCATATAGGGTGGAGCCAGACCCAGTAGAATACACTAAACCAACATGAACAATGCTTAAACATTAGTAATGATAAGATGGCCAACACTGATACAATCACAAAATTTTCATATTATGCTACAACTTATGATTCTAAGTTACCTTTCATTTTCCCTTTTTCAACAGATAAGGCATGTCAGCTCTAATCATTCATTTTCAACAGATATGTTAAAAACTATATCTCACATTCAGCAATAAGCATAGCTAGTATCCACTTCTACAACAGATATGTATATCAACAATACCAAGATAAGCATACAAGTTGTATCCACATTCCACAACAGATATGTATATCAAACAAATATCCACAGGATAAGCATACAAGCTGTATCCACACTTTCACAAGATAGCATATGAGCTCTATCTTCACTTTCTCTAGACAAGCATATGAGCTCTGGTCTACGGAGTTCATCCCCTATCTTCCTCCCATACCTATGCCGGTTTAGGGACATCCCCTATCTTCCCTAAAACGCGGTAGTTACAATCCCCTTCTCCTCCTCTACACATAACGTTATA